GAGAGAGAGAGAGAGAGAGAGAGAGAGAGAGAGAGAGAGAGAGAGAGAGAGAGAGAGAGAGAGAGAGAGAGATCAAAATCTTAACAGAACACGAAGTCCAAGGCATTACATATCACAGTAAACGCTGTGTCCATGGCATACACTTGCTACCCTTCTCGCCTCCTGCTCGGGTAGTATCTACCAGCCATCTCCCCATCTTAAATAGAGGCATCATCTCCACGTCTACTTCCCCAGACTAGCCAAAGTCCCTTGCCCATACTCCTTTCCTTATCATCTGATCCAACCTTGGTCGCAATCCCATTCTATCCCATTCCGCCTCTGCATACAGTCTTACCTCAAAGTAGAACGATTGAGGGGAAACAAAATATATTGATTGGTTCTGTTTAGAATCAATCAATGTCCATAAATCAATTAATACCAAAAAAAGAAAATGTATAGAAAAAAAAGAGACATTCATTAAAATAATATAGAATATATACGACATATATAAAATATATACAATATATCTAATACAATATCTAGTCTCTACAATAATTCTCTATAATAATTTTATAAATTATAATATAATCTTGCCCTCTCTATCGACGACCCTCTATCGGTAATGCTCTTCAGTCACATGACAAATTTCTCAAGCTCATGAAGTACCACATTGGATAGAAGAGGGCCGAAGGGCCGACCAAATGTGGTCGTCTTTCGATAAAGCGACTGACCGTATAAGAGGCCGCACAGATAGTGTGCTTTATTCTGTCTACAGGCTCGCTCTCATTGGAGGATAGTCCTGACAGGTGAGGCACTTGCCTTCTTTCTTATGTTTCTTTTTTTTTCTCTTTTTCTTTTTTTTTCAAATGGGTGATGGTCTTGAGATATCATCATTGAGATGACCGGCCCCAGGCAATTCAGACATATTTGGTTTTACTCATCAAGTTCCGTCATCATCTGGATTCGAACTCGGGTCTGTATTTCAACAGTTCATGGGTGTACCAACTGCGCTAGGCTCTTGGATAAGGTTACTGTGTTTCTTCTGATCCCTTTTTTTCTTTGTTTTTTCCCCTCCACTTTCCTTTTTTTTTTTCCCCCTCTTGACAAGGGTACCAGGTAATGAACGCCACATGCCGTCTCTGGTTGCTAATCTACTTTTGAAGTTCAAATATTAAACAGCCCCTTATCTTCAAATGAGTCGAATGACTACCTAACCTTCTGAGAACGGCCGACAATCAGGTTTACTGTAAGCCAAGCGGCGCGGCGCGACCGGGAGCGGCCCTTGCCAAAAACCTGAAGGGGTTTGGCCCCTGCTGATAACTATTTCGGCACCTAAAAATAACTTTTTTTTTCTGATTTTTCTTTTGTGCGTTTTCTATGATGTTAGGTAAAAAATAAAATAAAATAAAATAAAACTTCCATCACCTTGATTGAACTCTAAAGCACAACCTTCTCCTGCCTTTTTTTTTTTTTAAGGGACCCGGAGCATCGCCCGTCTTAGCTGTATTTTTTTTTACCTCTCTTATGTTGTTTCCCGGCCCCCTTCTTTTCTGTGATTTTTGTTTTGCAGGGTGTGAAAGTTTCTGGCAGTGATGTCATCATTGGCAAGACTTGCCGTGTGGAAGAAGTGGCGCAACCTGGTGAAATAGCTCAGCACAGAAAAATGGATTGTAGTAAATGCCTGACGCGGGGCACATACGGAGTCGTGGACCAGGTACGGCATTCCAGGTCCAGTTGAAGGTATGGATTGTTCAATGAGGACTCAAAACGTTTTTTTACAGCAACCACTCGGTTGACCACCAGTGAAGGCATACCAGATCCAGTGGACGTATGCATCACTGTGTATGGTTCGAACCTGGTTTACAGCAGCGAAATAAGTTTAAATAACCACTTCATTTTATTTTATTTTATTTTGTTTTCCCACTTCATTTCTTGGTTCGTACTGTACATGGTTAGGTAAGATATATGCTGCCAAAAATAATAGATCGTTGGACTGATGCCGGTAGAGCCAGAAGTGTGTATGTGTAGACTTGGATGCCCGGGATGGGAACCTTTACCATTGGTTTATTGTTCCTGGTTCAGCCAGCACTGTGTATCACAAGTGTGGGTTCACTTCTTATCCTTGATGACCACTGAATGGCTAAACCTGGTTTAGCAAAGTGGAGGAGTGTGCAGTTGATTACTCTTCACCGGGCCAGGCACTGTCTGTGGCATGTGGCCTCTTGGTAAGCAGCGTCTGTCCTTCTCTTCGTCCTCCTCCTCCCCGCTCTCCTCCTCCTCCTACTACTACTACTACTTCTACGCTTTTGGCCTTCTTAGAAGGGGGGGATCTTCCATTGCATAATGTGATTGGATCATTGGACAGAAGTCATTGTGGATAACTTTTTTTTAGGTGTGCCTATTATTCTTGTACCATGCGGGTGACTGTCATGTCATATGCTTAGAGTTTGAACTCAGTTCATGCTGGGGAATGCAGTGGTTCAGCTGCCAGTGTTCACCCGAATATAACGCTCGGTCATTATAGCTGCATTTGGCCCAACTTTCAGTCCAGATGCCGCGATAATGACCAGGCGTTCTATTCGGGTGAAGACGGTAGTACCTACGCCAGTTGGGGAAAATAGGGAGGCCTCTGGTGGGCTGCCGATTTGTTAGGAGTTTGGGCAACGAAACGACAGCCGCCGATGAGATTTAACGACGGCGGCCGTCGTCGGGCCCAGCCGCCAACGTTTTGGAGTTTGGGAAAACTGCCAGTTTTCCCTATTTTCCCAACACTGGCGGAGGTACTAGTTGTGGGGAAAAACATGACGAGGGCCAGGACGTATGCACAAGCTGCAGAACTTGTGCCGATCGCTTGATGCCGCAGCTCTGAGACTTCTTGTTTGTGTTCATGTCGGTGCTTTTTCTTCCCTTCGTCTTCCCTACATGCCCCTTCAATTCTTCAGTAATCTCTTGGAGATGTTTGTTTTTCAGACTTTTTTCTTCATCAACATGGCTTTGCAATTGCTGGCGTGTTTCATTTTGTTTGTGTTTCCTTGGAAGGGATGTTGTGGATTTCGGTTGATTGTCTTTCGTCGTAAAGGGATTCTTGATGTGTCTTGTCTTCCTGTTCTTTGTGTATAGCTCCATCTCAGTGGTACCCTCCTCCACACTTCTCATGCTCCTTGATTGAGTCCTGGTTTTCCAATGTCTCTTTTTGGCCATAAATTCGAACTTTCACGCCTCTCTAAAGGGATTCTCTTTCCTCCCAGATATCAACAACCATTTCCCTGCAGCATGAGTGCTGTACCTCCCCACCTGGTTTTCCAATGCCTCTCATGGCTCACAGATACCTAAGGTCATTGACACCCCCTTTTCCGATCGCGTGTTCATCCCCAACTCTCGCTCCATCCTTCCTTTGGATGGCGGATGCACTAGAGTACATGGTGATGATAGCCTCTGTGCGTTTTGCTTTTACCCCCTCCTCGCCTCTCTCCTTCCTGTTCTTTCAACTTCTTTGCATATGTTATCTCGCACTTTGTCTCCTCCTCTTCCGTCTCTTCCCGTTTCCCTTTCTCTTCCTCTTCCCCCTCTTCATTTCTGCTTCTTCCATGTTCTTGTCGAGAGCAGGACTTGCGCTCGTAAGCGATCAATTGACAGTTTCTGTGGCTGTGTGTACCAGTCAGCCACCAAGCAGGTTCCGTCGTTCCGAGACAATAGAGCTCAAGTGTGCCGTATTTTCCCCTGAGTCTGCACGTCTCTGAAATTTGAAGTCTCTCTGCTTTGGCAATCTGCCTCTCCCTTGGGTAACAGGTAATCCTGACAACGGACCCGAAAGGACAGAGACTTGCACGAGTTAAGATCAGGACTCATCGTATTCCAGAGGTCGGTGATAAGTTCAGCTCTCGACATGGGCAGAAGGGGACTGTTGGAATGGTGTATACGCAAGAAGACATGCCATGGACATGTCATGGCATCACGCCGGACATAATCATCAATCCCCATGCTATTCCCTCTCGGATGACTGCTGGCCAGCTGCTTGAATGTGTTGTTGGCAAGATAGCTGCGCGGACCGGGCAAGAAGGAGATGGCACAGCTTTCAGTGAAACCTCGGTGAGTGTACGTAAATCTCGTGAGTGTGCGTAAATCTCGGTGAGCGTATGTAGGGACTGCCCAGCTATTTGGGTTCTGGGAATGTACGTATGTCATTGGTAATTGAATGTGCCCCTACAATTAATGGTTGATGAGGTTTTCCTTTTTCATCCACATATCCAGCACTTAGGATTTTTAGATGGTCTCACTAAGTTTCTAGTATTTCTACAAACAATTTTGACCTTGAGAATGGTCTTTCTCTTCTTCAGGCAATTGTCCTTTATGGTTGAGAGTATTGTCTACTACAATTTAGAGCAGCCCCATGGTACAGGCTGGCAAATCATCATCGATGCATTCCAGTGTCCACATGCAATAACATATAAGGAATTGAACACTCAAACTTGTGTTTTCTGAAGATGGGAAAGACAGCATGATGAGCGGACAGCTGAACGTAGAGTATCCCTGGAATGCAGGCGCACGAGATGAGGACGATCTAACGAGGAACCTGTCACCCAAAAGTGTTGGTGCAACAGAAGTGATTATTATATGTATGTATAAGACCCAACCCATCCCCGTTGGTAGGTAGTTGTTCAAATCTTCAGTTGTTCCTATGATCCTAGATCAAGTAGTGAGTCGCAGCTGGCTTCTGCAACCTTTGCCTGATGGGAATTTCAGATCTATCGAGCAGCACAAACTACACACCCCATGCACTAGGACATGATAGCCATGATTCCCACCCCAGAGCAATGAACCATACCTGATGCAGTAGTAAATAAAAGTCGTACTACTCACTGTCAAGAAGACTGTCGATGAGACCAGGCTCTTGAAGAGTCATGTGTTAGTGGAGCCTCTAATGTCACTTCGTCATCTCTCTCTCTCTCTCTCTCTCTCTCTCTCTCTCTCTCTCTCTCTCTCTCTCTCTCTCTCTCTCTCTCTCTCTCTCTCTCTCT